GATGCTGATCCATATTAAGTCGCCGGAGTTCTACTTCCAATTGGGACTACTGCCTTCGAGAGGCTTATTGCTGCATGGGCCGCCAGGCTGTGGCAAAACCTTTCTTGCTCGTGCCATTAGCGGGGTCTGTTTTATAGATCAAGATTAAATCGTTGAATCATTTATTAACCATCTCTGCTCTTCGACACAGCAATTAAAAATGCCTCTGCTGGAAATACCGGCAACGGAGCTAATTGGTGGCATCTCTGGTGAGTCGGAAGAGCGAATTCGCGAGGTCTTTGAACAGGCCATAGGCTACTCGCCCTGTGTGCTTTTCATCGATGAGATCGACGCCATCGGAGGGAATCGTCAGTGGGCTTCCAAGGACATGGAACGTCGTATTGTGTCGCAGCTGATAAGCAGCTTGGACAACCTTAAGGCCAACGAGTTTGGCCAATCAGTTGTCGTCATAGCGGCCACCACGCGTCCCGATGTCCTGGACCCTGGACTACGTCGCATTGGTCGCTTTGATCATGAAATTGCCATACATATCCCGTCGCGAAAGGAGCGGCGTGAAATCTTGCGCATCCAATGCGAAGGCTTGTCCATCGATCCAAAGCTTAATTATGATAAGATTGCCGAGCTAACACCGGGATATGTAGGTGCTGATCTGATGGCCCTTGTCAGCCGAGCAGCTTCTGTAGCCGTGAAGCGTAGGTCGATGAAGAAGTTCCGTGAACTGCACGCTGCCAGTGAGAAGAACATGACAACGGTCACTTTGGATGACGACGAACCCAGCGAGGAGGCAGGTGGAAAGGCTGTGGCTGAGTCAAAAGATAAGGAAACTGCAAAAGATTCAGATGCAGAGCAAAAGGCGGATGGTGACAAGGAAACATCTGAAAAGGATAAGTCAGAAGGCGACTCACCCACAACTAAATCCCCTGAGAAAGTGACCAACGGCAAATCACCTAAGAAATCACCGAAGAAATCACCGGAGAAACCAACGGAAGCAGCCATGGAAGTAGACGAAGTCGCTACCAAGGAGCCGAAGAAAGACGTTGAGCAGGAAGTGGACTTCTCCTCCAACGACGAATACTACGAACCCACGCTGGCCGAGCTGACCAACTTTCTAGATAACCCGCCTGAGGAGTTCGCCGACCCAAATTTCTGCCTCACTCTCATCGATTTCGTGGATGCCATTAAGGTGATGCAGCCTTCCGCCAAGCGCGAGGGCTTTGTTACAGTGCCGGACACCACTTGGGATGACATTGGTGCCCTAGAAAAAATTCGCGAAGAGCTTAAGTTGGCCGTCTTGGCGCCAGTTAAGTATCCGGAGATGCTGGAACGTCTTGGGCTGACTGCTCCGTCAGGCGTTCTGCTATGCGGTCCGCCAGGTTGCGGCAAAACTCTGTTGGCCAAGGCAATTGCCAATGAGGCTGGCATCAATTTTATATCGGTGAAGGGACCCGAGCTTATGAATATGGTGAGTTAATTGAAAGGTTGTATATTTCTTGCTTTGCCAATTATGTGTTTATTTCTATAGTATGTTGGCGAAAGCGAGCGCGCTGTGCGTGCCTGCTTCCAGCGTGCCCGTAACTCTGCACCCTGCGTCATCTTCTTTGACGAGTTCGACTCCTTGTGCCCCAAGCGTTCGGATGGAGGCGATGGTAATAATTCGGGCACTCGTATAGTTAACCAACTGCTGACCGAAATGGATGGCGTCGAGGAGCGCAAGGGTGTATACATATTGGCGGCTACCAACAGACCGGATATCATTGATCCGGCCATCCTGCGACCTGGTCGCCTGGACACCATTTTGTACGTGGGCTTCCCCGAGCAGAGCGAACGTACTGAGATTTTGAAGGCCACAACCAAGGTAAGAGTTTGCCTTTTAATTTTATTCAATATATTATATTTTAATAATTATACCCGTTACTCGTAGAGTAAAAGGGTATACTAGATTCGTTTAAAAGTATGTCACAGGCAAAAGGAATATTATGTATATATTTCAGATCAGATTTTTTGTAATTTTTCCGATGTTATGATGTACAAATTCAAATATGTACATATGTCCAAATCTAAAGTCCATAACTCAACTTATCTTAATCGGAATTTGAAGTGGCATATCTCTAAATGTTTCTGGAGCAATTCTCTACAAATCTGCATTCAAATTTTGAAATTTATTTTTTCAACATTTTTTTGTATTTTTTCTGATGTGATGATATGGTAGAAATTAAAAAATGTCCCAATGCTGAAGTTTTAAAGTCCATAACTCAACTTATCTTTATTGGAATTTGAAGTGGCATATCTCTAAATGTTTCTGGAGCAATTCTCTAAAAATCTGCATTCAAATTTAGAATTTTTTTTTTTTTTAATTTTTTTAAAATTTTTCTGATGTTATGATATTGTAGAAATTAACAAATGTTCCAATGCTGAAGTTTTAAAGTCCATAACTCAACTTATCTTAATCGGAATTTGAAGTGGCATATCTCTAAATGTTTCTGGAGCAATTCTCTACAAATCTGCATTCAAATTTTGAAATTTATTTTTTCAACATTTTTTTGTATTTTTCCTGATGTGATGATATGGTAGAAATTAAAAAATGTCCCAATGCTGAAGTTTTAAAGTCCATAACTCAACTTATCTTTATTGGAATTTGAAGTGGCATATCTCTAAATGTTTCTGGAGCAATTCTCTAAAAATCTGCATTCAAATTTTGAAATTTTTTTTTTTAACATTTTTTTGTATTTTTTCTGATGTGATGATATGGTAGAAATTAACAAATGTCCCAATACTGAAGTTCTAAAGTCCATAACTCAACTTATCTTTATCGGAATTTGAAGTGGCATATCTCTAAATGTTTCTGGAGCAATTCTCTACAAATCTGCATTCAAATTTTGAAATTTATTTTTTCAACATTTTTTTGTATTTTTTCTGATGTGATGATATGGTAGAAATTAACAAATGTCCCAATGGTGAAGTTCTAAAGTCCATAACTCAACTTATCTTTATCGGAATTTGAAGTGGCATATCTCTAAATGTTTCTGGAGCAATTCTCTACAAATCTGCATTCAAATTTTGAAATTTTTTTTTTCAACATTTTTTTTTATTTTTTCTGATGTGATGATATGGTAGAAATTAACAAATGTCCCAATGCTGAAGTTCTAAAGTCCATAACTCAACTTATCTTTATCGGAATTTGAAGTGGCATATCTCTAAATTTTTCTGGAGCAATTCTCTACAAATCTGCATTCAAATTTTGAAATTTATTTTTTCAACATTTTTTTGTATTTTTTCTGATGTTATGATATTGTAGAGATTCAAAAAGAGGTAAAAAATGTCCAAAGGGTGCAAATCTAAAGTCCATAATTCAACTTATCTTAATCGGAATTTGAAGTGGCATATCTCTAAATGTTTCTGGAGCAATTCTCTAAAAATCTGCATTCAAATTTAGAATTTTTTGTAAAAAAATTTTTTTTTAAATTTTTCTGATGTTATGATATTGTAGAAATTAAAAAATGTCCCAATGCTGAAGTTCTAAAGTCCATAACTCAACTTATCTATATCGGAATTTGAAGTGGCATATCTCTAAATTTTTCTGGAGCAATTCTCTACAAATCTGCATTCAAATTTTGAAATTTTTTTTTTCAACATTTTTTTTTATTTTTTCTGATGTGATGATATGGTAGAAATTAACAAATGTCCCAATGCTGAAGTTCTAAAGTCCATAACTCAACTTATCTTTATCGGAATTTGAAGTGGCATATCTCTAAATTTTTCTGGAGCAATTCTCTACAAATCTGCATTCAAATTTTGAAATTTATTTTTTCAACATTTTTTTGTATTTTTTCTGATGTTATGATATTGTAGAGATTCAAAAAGAGGTAAAAAATGTCCAAAGGGTGCAAATCTAAAGTCCATAATTCAACTTATCTTAATCGGAATTTGAAGTGGCATATCTCTAAATGTTTCTGGAGCAATTCTCTAAAAATCTGCATTCAAATTTAGAATTTTTTGTAAAAAAATTTTTTTTTTAATTTTTCTGATGTTATGATATTGTAGAAATTAAAAAATGTCCCAATGCTGAAGTTCTAAAGTCCATAACTCAACTTATCTATATCGGAATTTGAAGTGGCATATCTCTAAATTTTTCTGGAGCAATTCTCTACAAATCTGCATTCAAATTTTGAAATTTATTTTTTCAACATTTTTTTGTATTTTTTCTGATGTTATGATATTGTAGAGATTCAAAAAGAGGTAAAAAATGTCCAAAGGGTGCAAATCTAAAGTCCATAACTCAACTTATCTTTATCGGAATTTAAAGTGGCATATCTCTAAATGTTTCTGAAGCTATTCTCTAAAAAACTGCTTTCAAATTTAGAATTTTATTTTTTTTTAATTGTTTTTCTATTCCATTGCAGAACGGAAAGCGTCCGGCTCTGGCCGATGATGTAGATCTTGAAGAAATTGCTGCCCAAACCGAGGGCTATACTGGCGCAGACTTGGCTGGACTGGTCAAGCAGGCCTCCATGTTCTCCCTGCGCCAATCTCTGAACAACGGCGACACAAAACTCGACGATCTGTGCGTACGCAGCCAGCATTTCAAGGAAGCTTTACAGCAGCTTCGCCCCTCAGTTAACGAACAGGTAAGAATGCCTCGATATATTGTTATTTATGTATTCAATATATTTATTTACTCGACAGGACCGCAAAATATACGATAAACTGCGCCTGAAATACGCTGCACCCAGGGTACCCACATTGGATGATAAGTAACCCATTCAACATTGTTGTTTTAGCCGATAAGCACCCTCGCGAATCAAACAAATTGTGAATCGTGAAATTAACGTATAGTTTTCGATACAGAAAGAATAATGTTACCCAGAAAAAAAACTATTGTATACCTATCTGTAAATGTGTAGAAGAGAAGGATTTTAACTTCATTTGGTTTATTTTTTGTAGTAACTTACAAAATAAATTGGAAACCCTAATTTTAAATTTAAACTTATGTTATACATATGTAAAAAAAAAGTGACCGTTTATTTGGGTTCATCGCAGTTAAGTTTGACCTACACATAATTTACAATTTAATTTAATTTTACGTTACCACTGATCAGAAAACAAAATTGTAAGCTTATGGGAAAACCAGCGGCATTTGTGAAGAAATGTTAGGTTTGCCTCGACTGGTCAGAATCGCGCCATCTCCACCGCCTTGTCCATCCCGGCTGAGTCCAGATCGCTTTATCGGTGGATAACGCGGCTCCATTTGCCGCGGAAAGAGTCCCGGAGGCAGGGCTTGAATGCCCTCGGGCAGGTCTTGCGATTCACGTGCCTTGAAACTCCTTTGCAGCCGTACGGTGTTCTCGTGCTGCGCACGAACCGTGCGCTTCGAACGCTTCTTCTTTGACGTGGTTTTGGCACAATCGCCACCAGCCGCAGTGGCTTCTACCGTGGACGTTGACGTGTTCGCGATTGCCACGCCCTCATTGGTGGCCTCGTAACGAGCCGGTCGTGGCAGCGGTGGATCATTTTCGCGGGCAATCTGATTTCGCAGGTCATAGGAGCGCTTGCACATCTCACGAATCCCATACCAGCTTTCGTGTCCAATTTGACTGATCATCTCCACTGGCGGTTGGAAGCCGAGCTCGCGTGATGGCAACTCCATTACCAAAGCCATCGGCACCTTAAGCACCCCATATACATAGTCCACAACGGATCCGGCAATGGTTCGCTTGGTCAGACAGCTGATGCTTCCCGTTCGGTACTCGCGGCCATTGTAGGACTTGATCGCACTCTTGCCGGAATTCGCTAGGGAGCTGAGTTCGCGCCAGTAGAGCGGATTGTCACGGCAGTAGCCCCAAGGGTACATGATACTTTGGCCATACGAGTGCAGAGACAAAAAGAACAGGAGGTTCGTGCTCATCCTGTCGAGAATGCTCCTCATGGCCCGGGTCTCTGGCTCGGAAAACGGACTTTCACCCTTGTACGTGTTGCGGTTGATCTTGCTGGGCCCGCTGTTCCAGAAGATGTCGTAGTTTCGATTGCAATCGGTGCCCACAAATTTGGTGGACTTGTGTGGCCGTCGGTTTTTGCGCCACTTGGGATTCTAAGGAGTTGGTTGCATCGTTAACCATAACCTGTTGGTAATTATCATAGCGAAAATATTTCCTCACCTTGGTGCGGGAGTACTCGTAGCCATCGGGATTGACCAGTGGAACGATGATGAAGCGGAGCTTCCGGAGCACCTCGATGTTCCTGGTGTATCGCTCCGTCAGCTGGTAGATGCAATTGAGCGCCGTGGAGATGCTTATCCATTCGCGGGCATGTGTGCCTGCCTCAATGAAGACCGTTTTCCGGCAGTGCTCACCCAGGTGGATCACCGGAACGGTGAACCGTCCATTGGGGGCGATGTCGAAGAGTCGCGGCGCGTGTTCCCGCATCTGCGGCGATAGCTCCACGTTCTCCGAGTTCATCCAGTTGATCTCCAGTGCTCGAACCTCCCGCTTCTCGTGCGTGTGGCCCAGGATGTGGACGTACACGAAGTGGGGATACCGCTGGGCCAGGTACTCCAGATACTGATTGATCTGCTTGTACTCCAGGTAGGTGTGCAGGATGTCCGGTCGCGGGATCACAAGCCGGCGAAGCGCCGTAGTGGCAGCATCCTTGGCCCGATCCTTGGCCGTCTGATTTTTACGTTTGGGTATGGCGGCCATCGCAGAGAATACGAAATAATTTGTACAGAGCAACGAATAAGAAAACGATTTATCACTGGAAAATTTAAGAATTACGCCCTTCGTATGACTGAGGCACAAATGAAAACTGACACCTCACTCGCCAGTGACATCCAAGTGGAATCTCACCCTGGCCTGCTGCGTGGGCACACTCACCTGGCACTTGATGTTCAGGTGCAGCCGCTCGACCACGAGCAGAGCCAGCCGTGTGCCCTGCTTGGGTTTGTCTTCCATTGTGCGGGCCTGGAGCAGCGGACGCTTGGGTTTTGTACTCCGGCATGGCGAAATTCGTGCTCCCACAGAAGGTCCAACGCCCATTGAGTTGCTCCTGCTGATGCACTGCCAGAAATTCGGCACAACTGCACGTTGGTAAGATCGTAAAATGAGGAGCATTAAAACTAAAGCGTTAACTAACTTTTTATGCTACTAATTGCCTAAGGTTAGGTAACATTTAACTTTTATCAGCATATTTGGCAAAAATCAAACTATCATACTTAATTAGAATTTTCTTCGAGTGTGCAGTTCGCAGTGGGTAAATGGAACAGCGACAACGTTTAATAAGTTGGGCACGGTAGCATGTAATGCGGAATTGGATTTGGATTCCGGCTCGGAATCCCCCAGCCTGGCTGCAGCTGCCACAAAACGCAAATATGCTAAATGTCAGACAGGAGGACGGGGTGGCTTGACTGGTGGGCGTGGGGAGGAGTCGCGCAGGAGCAGGAGGAGCACGAGGAGCAGGAGGAGCAGAAGCGGCGGGAAAAGGAGCAGCGGCGTGGGCGTAGAAAAGCGCAGGAGGCTAATGCAAATAAACAGGGACTCCAGGAGCTGGCGTGCAGCCTGGGAAACGAGCCAGGATTTGGAGGAGGAGCCGTTGCTGTCCTTCTCCGGTTAAGCGTTTTGCAGCGAAGTTCATTTGTGGATCTGGGCTTCCTGATCACACTGAGCTGCCGGGAAATGAGTATGTATATGAATTAATCTTTCGAATTCAGAGCGCTATTAAATATTTGCAATTTAAGAGAAAGCTTAGTTAAAAATTAGTTTTTTTTAAATATGTTTTTATTTTTAATTTCTTTATTTAATTATATTTATAATAATTTATAATAATAATTTATAATATAAATTTCATTATACACTATACACTGTATACGACTGTTCATGATTTTTGAGTTTAGAAGAAGTATTGTAGCAGTTCAAGGTGCCCATAGAAATGTCTTGCAACTTTACCGCCATTTTGCTGGCGAGTGTAATATGCTTCCTATGTCCTGGCAAATGTCATGTCAACGCAAAAGTCAAAAGTGCGCGGCAGGTCGCTGTGGAGCCACCCGCAGAAATTCATGGAGTTTGGAGCCGAGCCGAGTCCTTCACTGAATCCATATAAATTGGTATAAATATGTATGGCATATAGCGGGAGCAACGCAACCAGTTGATTTATACAGGAAGCATGTTCGTGTTGATTTTCATTTAACGGTCTTTTAGTCAACTTCCTGACACAGTGGCTGCCATATATTTATGTCTCGCTATGTCTACATAATACGTTGTAATTCCCTTTCCGGTTGAATACCCTTTCACTGCCAAACCTTCGTGTATAAATTATTCGTAGATGTTTAGGAACTTAGTTAATTGAGCATTTGTGTAATTAAAATCCCGGTTTATACATATTTTTTGTAGATTTCCTACTTTTCTTTATACATGTGATATAAAATGATACTTTTCTAAAGCAAATAGGTAACTCTTTAACATTAATTTCAAATTGGCTTACAGAACCAGAAAAAGCTATTCACATTGAATGTTTTAAGAGATTGTACCCAAATCCGCATATTCCAATGTCGCTCTTATAAAATACTGTTTGCAAATCCTTTATTTTTTCAGTGTTATGTATAAACACGCAAGGACGAAAACCAAATGGATGGATGGAGCAAGTGAAGCCTTTCCCAGTCAGTAAGTCAGTTGGTTGTTGGACGTCCTCCGTCGGGGGTAAAAGTTAAAGGGGAAAACCCTCTTCAAGTATGCATTATGTCATTAGCATGTTGGCCAATATAAAGGGCCAAACTTTGTTGAATTCGGGCCCTTTTTTTTGCCCCGCCTGACGGCTGTCTCCTGTCTTTTGTTCGAGTTGCGATGACGAAACGTAATGTAGCATAAAACTGTTTACGAATTAACGAAATTCCAAACAATTATGCCCAAACGAATTCGGATTTGCTGGCAAAGTTGTGTTGCCTGGACCTGCCCCAATAAGCTGGATTTTTGTCATGTGGCAGGGCAATTTAACTTTGTGCAATTTGGCATAGTTTGTGGGGCAATATTCTGATTACTGTGATTGCTAAGCGCGTCCAATAAACACTCTATTAAATTTGCACAAACACTGAAACAATTAACTTTAAACTAATTCAATTTCAAGCATACATTAGTGTTTACTAGGTGTACCAATGTTTCTTTGATTTCTAGGCAATCACTAAAATGTATTCCTTGGCAGCTCGCAGTTCCGTTCCCATGCGAAGACTGAAGTTTTCATGTTCATGGTTAAGGCCAAAACGCGTCAATTGTCATCAGCGGCATTTCAGATGCAAATATTTCGGTCGAAAACGCGACAAACACAATGGCCATGCCTTGAGTCGCACAATACCAAAAGCCAAATAGATATCTCCTTATACGAACACATAAGCATGTGGTATATAAGCCTTTAAGCTAATGCGATCGTCGAGTGGAGATTGTGAATTAATTTGCTGGGCAAGTTGAATGCCCTTTGGGCTGCTGTGAAGTTGTGGCGGTGTCTGGACCAGGTTAATAAATAAGCTAGATGATTTAGAACGCGACTAGAGAGGGCTGGCAGTACGCCAAGTGGTGCCATTAAGCCGCAGAAGTCGCACAAATTTCATATGTAAATTATTTTAGCTAAACAAGTTGTGTTTTGGATCGGTTTAGCACCGGAAATATGCGAGTGGCGGTTCGATTGTTCTTCTGTCGAACTCCCTATCAAAAAAATGCAGGCGGAAGTGCCTGAAGCTATAGCCAAGTGTTATAATTACACACAAAAGCGGTCCGAAACGAGTGGAGCCGAAGGCAAATATAAATATCAGACGCTGAGTTGGACGTTGAGTGACCTGGCTTCTGGCGGCGATCACAATGATGATGATCTCTTCACGAATTAATGAACTCAATAAATGCGTATTTAGACGCCAAGTGGTAACTGTAACGAACTGAACCCATCACCCATCATCCATCGTCCATCGTCCATCGTCTATTGTTTCCGGCTATTTTGGTCCCAACTGACCTTGTCCGTTTTTGGCCATAAATTCGAAAGTTCAGTGCTCCACAGTACGGACCATCTCCAGCACGAGCATATCTTAAACTTTCAAATCAGACCGCAACAGAACACTCATCGTCATGACATTAGGAAGCGAGTTTGTCTATAAAAACCAGAAAATTAACTATCAGCGGCTTCAGAATCGATTCACGAACCGCCATATGCGGATGCAAAATTCATCAAATAAGCCAGAACAAATTGTTAGTGCGGCCAAAAGTGATCAAAAGTGATTTCGAGACAAACAAGTTTTCAATCTCACTATAAAAGAAACACTAATTCCCAATCAATTAAAGAAAAGAAAAAGTACAGATTAAAGGGAATCGAAACGGTGAATAAATTATGCAAAAATATCAAAAAGTTCTTAGCCGAAACTCGAAATATTCATAATGGCCAAGACGCGTGCCCAAAATCTTGTCTCGTGACGCGTTTGCCGCTTTATTTCGGAACTCTATATAAACTGGTCGCAAAGCCCGACCTTGACACTCACTTTTCTAAACAATCGACTCTCGGAACCGAGACCATTTTTTGGTCTCTGCCTTTTTGGCCAAGATCTCGTCTTCTTTCTCGGCCGCTTTACAAACCGCTCGTCAGTCTTTCGCCGGACCGGAGATGGAACACACGGATCGCGTCCGCTGAACAGTGTTTAATATTAAACGGTTTTCCCCAAAGCTAATCACTTCAACTAAGAGCTCTTGAAAAACTCAAACTCAAGACTCAAGACTCTTGCCTAATCGCCGCCAGCGTGCAGCGTGCAAACAATAAAACAAATAGGCAAACAAAAGTGCAAAAAACATAAAAAATAATAAAATCATACAAATACGTGTGCCAGTCCATGCAACTGCATATTTTAATACATAATTAGCCAGAGATCGTGGAAGCATCTCGGTGCAAGTGCACAGTATATATATAATATCCATATACCTGCAAAAATGTGGCAGGGAATCGTGTGCAGCTTGACTTTATGCCTCGTCGGATTGGCGGGTTTCGGCCTTGCCAACAATCTCGCCGGCTACGAAGGGTAATCATCGACGCTACTTGCATTAATTATAAACTACAACGTTACCTTAAGGTAGCAAAAAAGATTTAATACGCAATACACATCAATCAAGCGGCTCTTCTGTGGGGCAGATCATTAATTGAAATGGTTTTTTGGTCACCTGATGAACGGGTTTTCGCATCTCCTCCATGATCAGGGCTATTCCAGCAGCTTGTGCTAACGAGCATCACCCTGCCGGATCTGAATCAGCTCAAAGGCTCCAATGAACACTGTTGCGTACATTATACAGCCATCCAGCATGTTGAAATCGTCCTGCTTGGATCGATAGGATAGATACGGAATGGCCACAATGGCGAGCAGCCAAAAATAGCGGTAGTATTGACAGAACCAATCGAGAAAGTCCTGTAGAATTGGCAGCATTTTGCTGCTCCTAATGGGGTTTTTGTGTAGTGATATTGGATGTGATTTGCTTGGTTAACTAGAGTAGCACTTGGGCGGGAATTTTCTAGTATTATTTCGAAGGGTTCCTAAATTTAAACATTAACCATTTTCAGATTTAAAGAGAATAAAAACTTGAAGCTAAAATAAACAAACATCATAAAACCGATCTAGTCATAGGATAAACAAAAGCTGCATGTTTTTGAAATATTTATTCCCATTGTTAGCCGAGTCCATGGCCATTGGCCGTGATTAGAAGCCATCACAATGAGCAGGGCTAAACGTTTTGTCGTTTGGTCAGTGACCAACAGTTGGACACTCAACGATTCCGTTGATAATTGCCATACATTTGTAATTTGGCAGGCGATCGCAGTGCAAATTGTTTGCCAAACATGCCACGCCCACTGGGGCGAAGCTGCGCCTGTCATTGGACCATGTGGCGTATGAGTGATGAGGGCTTTGTGGTTGCAGCGCTTCCGACTGGAAGTCCGTGTCCAAATGGAAAGCCAACTTCCGATTAGTACTGGCCAGATGTCTTGTTTCCTAACCATTTTCAAGTTCAAAAACATTAAGATATGCATGCAGAGTGATATACAATTTCACAAGGTCGAGTTTCGTTGGACAATAGGCTTTGATTTGGTTGAAGAAGGTGTTGGGAAAATTTCAAACAAACAAAAATCGTAACTTTTAAAGATGAAAAATGGGCACCGCTGGCTGTTTTATTTTGGCCAACATTAAATTACCATCGAATGCCGTTGGCCGGCTCACGTGATTAGCTTATGTGTGGCATATAAAAGCTTATAATAGCATATCATAATGCCCCCTGCCACCCACGAAATCGCATAATGCAAACGAGATAAATATGCAGGGACCTAAGACTTGTTGCCTCACTATTTTTTTTGTGTTTTGTATTTTCAAAAGTGTGTGTGGAATTTCGAGAGATGATAAATTGGCCACCGATTCGTGCGAGGTGGCAAAGAGCCAACAAACAGCGGCCAGCAGTCGCTTTGCATAAATTTATGAATCAACAACTCATTTTGACGCCAGGCGAGGGCGAGCCATAAATTAATTTGTTGTCCAATTAGCTTGAGACATGTGGAGCAATCATCGGGATTTCCCGCAGCTAGATTACGATTATCTGGCTGGTTATCAGTTCATTAGAAATCACTATAAGAAATATCGCACTTTTAGTTGCAAACTAAAAATTGGGGTTTGCTGAGGAGCAACTAGCAAACAGTGCCAACATGTCTTGCTGTTAAATTAATTAAACGCCTGTCAACTGAATGTTAATATTTATTTGTCCAAACATCGCGTATCTCTGCAATGAATTAATTAACACGTATCTACCAAAACAATATATACCCCAACCTTGACATACTCACTGGAGATTATGGCATTAAAATTGCTTGCTAGATTAACTTTATCTCCTTAGATTTTGGCCACATAAAACAAAGCTATATATACTATATTTAATTTAAAAACCATTCAGAAATTTGAGCATACAACACTTTATAAACACTTTACTAAAACTTGCGATTTCATATTGGTCTTAAACCCCCTATTTCAGTTACACAAAATACACGGTGCAACATGGCGACGAGGAGGCCTTCAAGTACATGGTGGACCTGCAGACGAACGACACGGAGCTGGACTTTTGGCTGCTGACCAGAAACTCCTCCGTGCTGACAGTGAGCCCCAAGCGGAAGACCCAGTTCGAGGCTCGTCTGTCCAGCTTGGGAGTCAGCTACGAGATGCAGCCGCTCATGGAACTGATGGCGGCCCTGCAGGCGAATAGTTCCTTTGCGGAGGACGGCTACGATGAGGAGTACGAGGAGTGCCAGCTGGAGGAGTGCGAGGAGTCGGAGCGACCACGTCGAAGGACTCGTCGCCAGGCTCGCGGCTTCTTCTCGCACTTTCCACGGTATCAGGAGGTACTCAGCTTCATGAGCGGCTTGGCCGCCAGATATCCGCAGTTCTGCCGCTATGAATCCCTGGGTCGATCCAACGAGGGTCGGCACATAGCTGGTCTCTCGATTTCGCTGAATAGTAGGGTACGTCCTCGTCGAGTGGCCTACATTCAGGCAGCCACCCACGGCAGAGAGTGGATCACCACCCAGACCGTCCTCTATTTGGCCTACGAGCTGCTGAGCAATCTGCGCGCCTTCACAAGGGTCCTGCAGGATGTGGAGATTTTCCTGGTGCCCCTGGTCAATCCCGATGGCTATGAATACACTCACACGACGGTAAGTCGTTCCTATGCCTACTGCACACAATCAACATAAGTAAGATACATTTGCCATGTCGGCAAGGCCACATTATAGTATTTTTTTGCGTAGAAAAACTTTCAATCCATATAATTATACAACGAAATATGAAAGATTCGAACATGTGCTGAACAAGTCTCGCTCATTTATCTTGTAATACATATACGCTTTAAATGTCCATTGAAAGGCTGAGGGAAAACACATAAATTACGCTAGAGAAAAGTGGCATTTGAAAAGTGTTTAGATGTCACGGGCTTTAAGATACATTTTGAAATATACCCTCAATGTTCTTGCCAGCTCATAAGCTGCTAAAATAAACCGAAAAGTACATATGCCACATAATATTCAATTGCTGTTAAGTTTATCATATATTTAATATACGAAATAATTTAATTGAATCCACTGCAGGATCGTTTCTGGCGCAAGAACCGCCATCGTTATGCGGGTCATTCCTGCTCCGGCGTGGACATCAATCGCAACTTTGGAAACCACTGGAACTACCAGGGAGCCAGCCAGAATGTAAGTCCCACGACATTGACCTTAGCCAGTGAACCTAACCCTTTGTATACCCAAAAAACCCAACAGCTCTGCTCGGAGGTGTACTCCGGCACATCACCCCACTCGGAGCCGGAGACGTCGGCGGTGGTGCGGTATCTGGAATTCAATCGAAACCGTGTGAAACTCAGCCTGGATGTTCACTCATTTGGCAAATTCATTTTTTATCCCTACGGCTATGCGAGGTGAGTATGGGCGGAAAGTGCAGTCTCCCTGATTTCCATGTTGCATGTCCGAAAATCCTCGCCAGTGGCTGTGGCTGTGGCTGAAGGCCAGGCCGGCGGGTGGCCCAGAAAGAAATTCAATTTGCTTTTCAATTATTTGCTAAAAGCAATTAAACGCGAATATTTCTGCCAATGCAACCATTTAATTCTTTTCTCTTGCACTGCGCGTTAAATATTCAAGTTTAAACTGTATACTCCTGAGCATGAGCGGTAACTAATAGATCTTTGGAAATATGTGATATTATTATATATATTTATTATATATTTATTAAGTAGTATTTAAAATCTTTAAACATGTTTCTTTAATGGTAAAATCATTACATATGCCAACTGATGTGAGTTAAAATATTTAATACTTCACAAAAAAAATACTCCGCACATTTTCTATACCGATTCCGATGGGAATTTCATTTTTCATTCTATATTCTGTTGCACCCATAGTTGTTCAATATAATGACGAGTATTTCTCTCTGTGTAGAAACACCGTGCCACCCACCGTGGGAACACTGCGCTCGGTGGCTCTGAGGGCCGCCAACCAGATCGGCAGGTACCGTGGAACGCGCTACACCACCGGCACCTCCGCCTCCATTTTGTACGAGGCCTCCGGCAGCCTGGACGACTTCGCCTACGGCAACCTGGGAATCCCCCTGTCCTATACGCTCGAGCTGCCCGGTGACGAGTTCCACGTGCCCGCCTACGACATCATCCACGTCTGCAAGGAGACATTCGCGGGCTTCATCGAGTTCATCCGGCACGTCAGCCTCTACTAGGAGGTGCCCACTGTATTTGCTAAGCCTTTAGGCAATTGAATTTATTGTTTGTTAAAACTAAAATGATAAGTGACCTCGTTGTTAAGCATTAAAGAGATGAATAGTGAATAAATATTTCCATTCCTTGTATAGATTTGCAAATATATTTTCTGATTTGATGTGCATTTGCCGAATGAATTGCAGATTGCTGTTAATTCAAATTAGTGTAGCCAAAAAATGCAAGGAAAATTATTTCTATTATGAAACTGAACAATTGACCAGTTTTTACGGGCTTCATTTAAAATATACTAATAAAATACAGAGTGCCTTCCACTATTTTATTTATATTTTTGTAGCTTCCAATTTTAATTAAAATTTTGGCCCAAATGAACTGGAACTAGTGCGTTATCTTAAAAGGGGAACTACTTAGTTGGTGTATGTATCATAAAAGCGATCCGACATTTTGGTATCGTAAGCTGGCGGCAGCGTCTCCAATAAAGTGATAAAAAGGGGTAATGCGATTAGCCAACAGCCACACTTTTTAGCCCAGTCAATATTGGACTTTTGGGCAATAATGGCTTCGCCTCTCTTGGGTTTGCTAACCCTGCTGCTATTGCAGCCCATGGAGCTGTTTGCTTGGCAGGATTACAAGGACTACAAGCTGTACGAGCTGAAGCTTGAAGGAGCTGTGGAGCAGAATCTTGTAAGGAAGTGGTCGCAGGAGAAGCCCTCATGGGACTTTCACGAGCCAAGTCGGAATGCGAGCTCACTTAAAGTGATGATACCGCCTGAAGAAGCTGATGGATTTATTGAAACATTGAGAAGCTATCACTTGGAGTACAAGGTTTTAATAGAGGACTTGGCACCATTGGTGCGTGCCCAACGAGCTGAAAATCTTAAGAAGAAGTTGCTCATCCAATGGCCACACATTGATGTCCTGGCGGCGTTTTATACACATGCGGAAATAAATGATTACCTGGATAGTTTACCTGCAAGGTTTCCCAAACGAGTCCAGCTGAAGCAATTTGGCTGGAGTTACGAGAGACGACCCCTCAAAGTAGTGACCATTACAAACGGAGATGGAAGGCGGAATAAGCCAGTGATCCTAATTGATGGCACGGTGCATGCCCGGGAATGGATATCACCATCGATGGCCCTTTATGTCATCCAGCAGCTGTTGGACAACTATGTGGACAATCAGGAGCTCATGCTGGACTACGACTGGGTCATTATGCCAGTGGTTAATGCGGATGGGTATGAGTACACCCACACGGTTGATCGTTACTGGCGTAAGTCCCGTCGACCCACTAGCAATCCGGATTGCATTGGCACGGATATCAATCGAAACTTCGGCTACGAGTGGGGCCACGACGAGGGATCTTCTTCAGATCCATGCGAAGCTATTTACCGAGGAGAGCGACCATTCGACCAACCCGAGTCGCAGGTCCTGCGAGATGTGATGCTCCATTATGGGGGACGACTCAACTTTTACCTCTCACTGCACTCCTATGGCAACTATTTCCTTCTACCATGGGGTTATACCAGGTAATTCCACTAGGCTGGTGTCTCTCTAATTTCTGTTTCTTCTAATTATCAGTGAATATTAATTGATTCATCCAGCGTCTTTCCGGATACCTACCAGGACATGATGTCCGTTGCGGATGCCGGGGCCAAGGCGATCATCTACTCAACGAATGGTATATATAGCTATGGAAGCACCTACTACGTGCTGTATCCGACATCTGGCGATACGACGGACTTTGCGTTGGGAGTGGTGAATGCCACGGTTTCCATGACCATGGAGCTGCCGGCTGCTGGCTTCCAGGGCTTCGATCCCTGGGTTTCCCACATCGAGCGATTGGTCACGGAAAGCTGGGTGGGAGTGCGGGCCATGGCCGCCGAGGTGATAAGACGCTATCCGGCGTAATCGGGCTGTAAATAAACAGACATTAACTCTGATTTTCCCTGATTTGCGGGTTATTATTTATGGATCCGTTCGTCGATTAGATATGTATGTGTCTGGGTGACTTTGTCTAGCTATTTAAGTGGCTCGGCCCATCCACGCGGTTGCTTAGTTCTTGCCAAGATGAAGTTCTCCCTGGGCTTGCTAGTGCTCCTTTTGGGCGCCACTCTTGTGGCTGCCGATCAGGATTACGAGGGGTAAGTATGGCAGTCACTGATCCATCCAGGAACTAGTTACGGATTTAATGTGATTCGCTTCCAGTTACCGCATTTATGAGGTGACACCCTCGAGTGTCGACCAGGCACACCTGTTGCATCAACTCAGTCTGCAGGGATTCGATTTCATCAGCGAGACTCGTCTGTTGGGGCATCCGTCTCGTGTGATTGTGAGTCCCGGCCAGTTGGAGCAGTTCCAGCAGTTGGTTGAGGGAGAGAAAATGGCACACAATCTGGTGAACTCCAACCTGGGCGCCTCCATAGCCGAGGAGTTTGCCCAGCGGCAGATGCAGCGCCTTCTGGCGCCCATCACGGGAAAGGGTCGTTTGAGCACGGAGCGATACTACACGCACGAGGAGATCATCAACTATATCGATGACCTGGCCCAGCGCTTTCCCAGTCGAGTGTTCGTCAAGACCGTTGGCTGGTCCTATGAGAAGCGAGTCCTGAAGACCATCACCATCACCAACGGCGATGGCAAGGCTGACAAGAAAGTGATCTTCATGGATGGTGGTTTCCATGCAAGGGAATGGATTTCACCGGCTGCAGTTCTGTACGTCATCGATCAATTGGTGGAGCAGTTCGAGGAGAACGCCCATCTGCTGAAGGACTACGACTGGGTTATCCTGCCTCTGGTCAATGCTGATGGCTATGAGTACTCCCAGACCGGAACTCTTGCCCGGTCGTGGCGCAAAACCCGCCAGCCATATACGTACGCCGGTCGGATCTGTTACGGAGCTGATCCCAATCGGAATTTTGACTTCCACTGGAACGAGGAGGGCGCCTCCTCGAACCCATGTGCGGACACCTATGCTGGCCCAATCCCCTTCTCCGAACCGGAGACGGTTACCGTCCGGGATCTGATGCACTCGCTGGCCGATCGTGGTATTATGTACCTCACCATCCACTCCTACGGCAACTATCTGCTGTATCCTTGGGGATGGACCTCGTAAGCCATGGCTATCATATACTAAAGTATTTACTCTGACATATAACTGACATTTCACAGAGATCTGCCCGAGGACTGGGAGGATCTGGATGCGGTAGCCCGCTCTGGAGCTGAGGCTATTGAGAACGCTACTGGTACGGTGTACACCTATGGATCCTCCACCAATGTCCTGTATATTGCTGCTGGAGCCAGTGATGATTACGGCTACTATGCCGGCTTCAATGTGTCCATCACCATGGAGTTGTCAGGTGCTGGCAGCATTGGATTCAATCCTCCAGTCACCCGCATCGATGAGTTCGTGACCGAAACCTGGATTGGCATCCGTGCCATGGCCGAGAAAGTGATCGAGATGTACTAGAACGTGTCCAAATATTTTTCATATATATAGATTTCATATAAAACTTTCTTTTTTCTAAACAGCGTTCAATTAAAATCTAATTGTGCTCACTTTACCCAACGAAATGTTGCTCGATAACGTAATTGGGAACCAAATATTAAATAATCTTTATCACCAATTGATTTATCTTGAAATCTTTACAGTCATTCATATAAACAGCACGATTTACTGATAACAATTTGAGAATGTCGGCCACGGCAGTTGTTTCGATAGCTTGAAATTGGTATTGCTCAGATAGGAATCGACTTTGAAAGATGTCGGTTTGTTTGGTTTTGCTGGCACTAAGCTGCCTAAGTTTTTCTGCTGGACTGCAAAACACCAATAAATACGAGGGGTAGGATATCAAATGAAATTTATAATATTAATCGAAATTGAAACAAGTGTTTGTTTTAGTTATAAAATCTATGAGGTTTCTGGCAAAACTCGTTCGGTGCCCTTCGCAGAAACTCTTACCGAATTGGTCAAGAATTCGTCATATTATGAGGTGTTCTCGGGATTTAAAGGTGCCAATCCAGCCAGGATTATGGTGCATCCTGACGAACAGGTGAACTTTGTGCAGCTGATGGATGACCATAATGTCGACTTTGATATTATCAACCGGAATGTGGGTCTCACTCTAAGTCGCCAATTCGAAACGAACCGGATGCTACGCCAGTGGTTTCCCTACAATGGAAGATTGGGCAATGAGAGATACTACTCCCACGAGGAGATCAACCAGTTCATCGAGGATTTGGCTAGGAAATATCCGCAACGGGTTTTCCTGAAAACCGTTGGCCGAAGTTACGAAAATCGCTGGCTGAAGACCGTCACCATCACCAATGGCGATGCCAGGCGCAATAAGAATGTGATCCTCGTGGATGGTGGCTTTCATGCTCGCGAATGGATATCACCGGCGACTGCGATTTATCTGATCAATCAGCTGGTGGAAAATCTCGAGGATAATGCCGATCTTCTGCAGGACTTCGACTGGGTGATCCTGCCCGTGGTCAATCCCGATGGCTATGAGTACACACAGCTATCGGCCGATACTCGCATGTGGCGCAAAACCAGGAAACCCAGCAGTTCCGATTGCATTGGCACCGATCCCAACCGTAACTTTGATTTCCACTGGAACGAGGAGGGTGCCTCGGACGATCCCTGCAGTAACACCTATGCTGGTGCGAAGGCTTTCTCGGAACCGGAGGCTCTGGTGGTTGGGGATCTTATCCATAGCTATGCGGACCGCGGGCAGATGTACTTGACTTTGCATTCCTATGGCTCACTTATTCTGTATCCTTGGGGTTGGACTGCGTAAGTATCCTTGGAGCTATTTTGCTTGTAATTTCCATGTATGATATGAAATTGTAATGTTTTCCAGAGCTGTTCCCGATACAGAAGAGGACCTCAAGGAGGTAGCTGAAGCAGGTCAAAGTGCTATTCTGGATGCCACTGGCACTATCTATAAGGTTGGGCCCTCTACCACAACTATAAACTATGCGGCATCCGGAGCTAGCGATGATTATGCCTTCAATGCTGGCTTCCCGATTTCCTTCACCATGGAACTGCCATTCGGTGGTACTGGATTCGATCCCCCGGCATCGGATATAGATCGCATAGTCAAGGAGACCTGG